GCCACCAAACATGTCTCAATCGGTCTGTAACCTGCTCTGCCGCAGGAGCACTCGGAAAATCCCAGCACAGCACACACCAGCTGTACTGGGATATGGCTGGTGCCAGGAAAGGCAGCAGGGATTTGCACTGTCACTGCTTGTGTGCATTGGTCAGAAAGGCTGAAGTCAACTGGCTGAAACATATCAAAAGCTCTGTGCAAAAAAAGAGACCACGAGGGAGAAGAAATAAGAGTCATGGTTTGCAGAGGAGAAGTAAATAGTTTCCAAGGTCAGGGATCCTTGATACAGAGAGAAAATGAGAAGTAGAGAGGGGAAGGAAGGCATGTCATCACCTCACAGCATGATGCATCTGGAGTAAATACATCTTTGCATGTGCTCAGTGTGCCTTGCCCTTTCCTTCAGAAGAGCTCCATATTGTTTAAATCCTAAATGATGGATTTTCACATTCATATATTTTCTTATTTCGGTGCTGCTGGCACCTAAAATCTGAATTTAAGTCTCCAAAACCAACTAAAATCTCTGCCTCTAGCTCTAGTCTTAGCTGTTCCCTGCCAGTGTATGAACATGACTCTCCTTCCATAAGGTCATAGTTAATAACAAGCTAAAAATGTCCCACCTAAAGGACCTAGAGGGTCATGGTGTAAGTCTGCATCTTATAAGTAAACATGAGAGCTTATTAAAGACTACTTTCCCCAAAAGGAACCTTAAATTTTGGGCCATGACAATGAGTCAGTGCATAACTCCTTTCACTAAAGACACATAACCAATTTTCTCTTTAAGACTGTGCCAGGTAATACATTAGACAGTGGACTCCAGGCTCCTGCCATTTCTGACCCCCCACGGGCTCACAATGCCTCAGATGGTTGCATCAAGCTCCTCATGAACAAGAGAATACATTTAACCAGAAAGGAGATCTTGTGTGCTCTGGTTTCTGGAAATGTAACTGAAAACACAAGGGTTGATGCTGTTAGCAGATGGAGACTTTTCCTGTTCAGAGCGTTCAGCCTGTTGTACTTATTGGAAAAGTGGGCATGGTGGGAGCAGTACAGGCCCAGCACTCAGTGCCCATTAGAGGTAAAGATGCTGGGCATGAGCCCATAATTAGGATTAGCAGGTTGGACCACAATAGCTCAAAGCATTTAAGACTGTATCTGCAGAATTGAATAACTGAAGGAAGTCCAGGGCTATTGCAAATGGATTTTTACTGTCAGTGACAAATTTTCCATAAGTACTGGTAACCTTTCTCTGGATCTCATCAAAATAGTTCCTAAAAGAAATTTTGAAAATCCAAACCCAGAAATAATCACCCCAAGGAAGCTCTGAAGCTATTTCCTTTGAAGAGAAGGAATAGGTACAAGAATGTCCTCATTCTCTTGTCTCAGAGACAGACAGTGGGATTTTGCACAGCCTCAACAGCCTGGCTCAGCCATCCACGGGATGTTTCAAGTTCTCCCTCAGCAGGGCATAAGTCCACCTGAAAGAATAGTGATAGGGAAGGAATTGCACTGCCACTGCTCCAGCCTGAATATTATGAGGCTCTTCCAGACCAGCTCTGTAAACAGGAATTGCCTTTGGACCCTTAAAAACCACGCACCATATCATTCTGGAATGGCGTTAATCTCCCAGTCGTGGAGGTCAAAGCAAGAGTTCTATTATAAGCTCTGTGAAACACATCTCCTTCCAGCCACTCACTTGCAAGGAACAAAATCCAGTCAGCCAAAATGATCTATGTGTAACAGGACACCAGAGCAAGCATTTGAGGCAACGTGGGCGAGGCATTTTGGAGCTGTGAGACCTCCGAGCTGGTGCCGAGCCCTTGGTGAGGCAATACTGGCTCAGAGCCACAGTCAAGGAAGCAGAAGAGACGGTTTTCTCTTTGCTTCCTTGCAGAGGACAATGGTCTATTCACAGACAATACCAGCTGGAGAGGCCATGGCTACACCTCTCATCCAAGGTCCAGCAGGGCCTTCCATGGTACTCCCCAGCATCAGCTGTGTTCCCTGCCTGCCCCTGCTATGCTCCCATCTTCCCTAGAGCCTCTGCATAGGCCTGGATCATTTATCTCAATAGCACTTAAAACAGCTGAAGCCCAGGAAAGACTGGACCTTGTGGTTACAAATGACAAAGCCCCAGCCTTGGAGTCACGTTGCTGAGCAATGATTGACATGTGCCAGAGCAAGGACCAGAGCACCCTGATCCCCAGGGTGTGGTAAGCTGGAGGTAAGCTGAGGACCCTCCTCATCTCTTTCTTTAACATATTTTCTTTGTATTTTCCTCGGGGTCCAAAATGCACGTTGGATTTGCTGATAAACTTATCAGTAGCAGAATGAAATCTCAGTTTCATTTGTGCTGTTGACACAGACGTTTTTTCTCCAGCTGGTAAGTTGGGATTCAGTGAACAGGGTTACCCTGTGTTTTCTTCCATGCCTTGCAAACGCAGCTCCCAGCAGTGTGTGCCACTTGTCAGACGATGGGGAGAGACTCTGCATCAGGGACCAGCCCTCCCCCACCATGATGCTGGAGTCTTCATCTCTACACTGGAGGGGGTCTATCCCCACACATCATTCCCAGCCCCAACCCAACCCCTAGAGATGAGGAAAGGCTGTGGCACAGTATGTGGACGCCGATTACATCTCCAAACAGGAGGAGCACACAATCGGTGGGATCCGCCTGCTTTCCAACCCCTTTGTGCTCAGGGGCAGAAATACAAATAAGCCTCAATGTCTTTTTCCTGCTTATATGAACCAAGATCCGTTTTTCAATAGCATGCCCTGTCAGATAAGTACTCCCTATTCTCAGTAGTTATTTTTGGGAGAGAAAGCCTTTTGCTGGCTCACATGACACTCCCCTTCAGCACTTGGGAGGTGCAACAGGATGGCAGGTAGAGCTGTGATTCAGGGATGCTCCTACACCCACTGGAAGCTGGTGTTGCCATGCCAACCCTGTAGCATGTGCACAGCCAGCCCAGGGCACTGCAGGCTGCTACAGTGTCCGTGCTTTTGCACTTAGATCAAACTCAGGACCTTCCAGTGGAAGATTTGTTTGAACCTTTGATTGCAGGATGGATGACAGTGTCCCACTGAATTTTCAGCTCGCCAGCCCATCTCCCCGCTTAGTCTTGTCTCAAAGAGAATAGCATTACAAACTTTATGAGGGAGTTTTCCCCTCTAAATGAATTACATCACACGACCATTGCTAATACCCATGTTGTTTCAGAAAGACCACAGAGAGAAATGGTTAGGAACGGCAACAATCCTCCCAACAAGCCCAGGCACCCCTGGCAGAGCCGCACCCACCCTTCACCCATTCAGCATGTCAGGTCATGTGCTGCCTGAGACAGCATCCAGAGCCCATCTGAAGCAGTCACAGCACATGACCAATTACCTTTCCTCTGCTTAGACTCACCAAAAGGGACATTTAAAAAACTGTTCGTTCCAAAAAGCACTAAGTGACAAAGTCAGCTCTGTGCAAAGCCAACGGAGGTGGAGGGCACTGCAGACAGTTCATACCAAAAACACTCGTTTGTACTTTATTGCCGTGTTGGAGAATTCCCTGGGTAATTTCCTTGGTATTTTCTAACTTACTTCCTTATTGCTCTCTGGGTAAACTAGGTCAAAACACTTGCCTTGTCTAAGCCTTGGTTTGTCAACATATTAAACGAAGGTGATGGAACAAGTTGTTCCCTGCATTTTCTGCATGGAGTTCAACCGTATGGGAAGTTCATACAATGCCCTTCTTCTCCTTCATTAGAGCCAGGAAGGCTTTGAAATCCCCAAACTCAGACAAGCTGAGGAGCGTTGCATATTGCTATAGGCAGCTCAAGAGAAGTATATGTGAAATGTGAACAACTAGATTATTAAGGAAGATGTGCTCAGAGCTGCACAGCATTTTGTCCCTAAAAGAAAAAAAGTGAATCACCTATAATTGTTTTTTTCTTGATCACCCTGCTGGCTAAAGTAGGAACACCCTTAAAAATCACAATATCTGAAGTCTCAAGAAGTATTACAGGAACAATGAGATTCTACCACCCGCTGTGCTGCATCCCAGATCTGGCTGCTCCTTCCCAAGATGCTGCAGTACTTTCCAGCCTTTTTGGCTGCCACTCTACTCACACTGTTCATTCATCTGCACTGATTTTCTCAATAAAAAGCTGAGCATTTAAAACCACAGTACCTTCGAGGGTCCTGCAGCATGTACAGTGGGTTCTGATAAAAGGAAAACTACTGTGAGCAGACAATACAGACAGAGAGGTGGTCAAGTGTCATTGAATCTAAACTAATACCTGTGGCTAGCAAGTTTGCCTTAACAAAAAGGGTTAGTCTACAGCATCCCAGACGGGGAATGAAAAGTTTTTTTAAGAAGGTAGGTTTTTTTTAATAAGATGTCAACCAGCAGTAATGTTTTACTACACTGTTAACGTGCAGAGTAAAATATACCCACAGACACCACATCAGACATAAAAGACTGTTCTTCAGAGAGTTTCTGTATTTCACTATCTGCATGAAATATGGAAATAAACCAGGACCAATTTTATGGTACCTTACATTGTATCAGCGTTCTCATACTTCCTAATATAATAAGATCTAGCAATCTGGATAGATTTTTTTACTTATGTGATTCCTTACTCGTTTTGCATTTCAGAATTCTGGAGCAATTTTGGCATCAGGCCTTTAGAAATGTAACCACAGTCTTTTCAAGAGCAGAGATAACCAAAATGAGAACTTTAACTTAGCAAGACCTTCACAGGGAAGCAAAGGAAGAAACTGTCATAACAGTATTGCCATGACTTTTGTTTTCTATAGCATCCTTTAACTGTCTTCCACTCCCTAAGTGGTTCCTGCCTGACTCCTCCTTCTCACTGTCCCACCTGTGGGTCCTGCACAGGCTGTCTCCAGTTTATGATATCGTCACAAGTCATTACTACGACCCATATATCCAGGCTTGGTACACAGGTTCAATAGTGCAAGTCCTTTGAACTGCATTTCTCAAGTCCACTTTTCATCCCGTTATCAGATTGGTACTGAACAGAGGCCAACTGGAAATCCCAGTATGACATGCACATGCTGTCATTCATAGGATAGCTATGATCAGAAAGGGGTTGGTAAGACACCTCACCATATACTGAACTATGTGAATTATGTGTGTTTAGTCTAATTGGAATCATTTCTGATATCTTGGGGTCAAAGTCTCACAATTCGTAGGCAAACATTTTAGAGGACTTGCATATTAATGACATACCATTAACCAGAGTCAGAACTAGTTCTGCTTAGTCAGTTAGCTTGGATGAAAAACATTCAGCCAGAGACTCTGAGACAGGATCTGCCTCCAGGACTGAAAATGAGGACTGTTTCCCTCACTGCTCAGCTTGGCAATTACACAGCCATGGCTGGGGCTTCCAGACAACAAAGCTATTTGAAGATATTGGGAAGGTCCCTCACTGCCTGTTGAGAGAAAACCCCAGTTACACACCAACAAAACAAACATCTAATTTTTGACAATTTTAAAGCTTGTTTGCTTGATTTCTTGATACAGCAGAATAAAAGAAAATGCCATAGTGATGACTTTGGGCCATTAAAGGATCAGGTCCTTTGATGCACATGTCTTGTGCTGCACTGCACAGAGTCTGTAGGGATGTACATCCTGGAGCATCTCACACATACAGACCCTAGAGGGGCTTTGTGAACTGCTTAGATAACTGTTGCATTAAATTACATTTAGCTTGATGATCAGTAGCTCATCAGTTGACTTCTGGCTCTGATTTCTAATAACTGGAAGCATCTGACGTAATGAAAGCCCTTAGAGAAGGCACAGGGAAAGAAATAAATGTGCTAATTATGCTATGCAGAGTGCCTTGGAGAAGAGTGCTCCACTTCAAGGATACCCTGACATTTCTGACCCATTACAAGTAGCAGCATAGAAATGTCAGGAATTTAATGTAGAGTGTTTAATTGAGACACAGATGAAAAGAAACCAGTAGAACTTAAAACTGATTTCTTCCCTATAGCTTAGTAAATACTCTTAGCCACTAATGTGGCTAACTTTGATTACAGGAGGTAAATCATCCCCATAAATGTGATAGAAAACCATGCAGGCCTAGCACATTTATGATGAATTCTTTGCTTGCAGTGCAAATAGAAATGAAATACTCCTATTGCTGTATCCTGCTTAGCACTTAAATACAGTTTTGCTCATTTATGTCCATCATTTGAACCTAAAGTCATGGAGGAATGTTTTGAATTTTACACATGATACATATTTTCTTCTGAGAGTGAACTGTAAAAATACAGCTCAAGTAATACTACACTCAGCATCTCTCCCCTCCAAACCCTCTAACTTTTACACTATCTTCACAGGCTACATTTTGCTTTATCTGGTTAAATACATGGCTAAACTGAGGCTTGAAAATCAGAAAGTTACCAGGGTCAAAATGTATGTTAGATACGGAGTTGGGGAGAGAAATCCTGATCCAGATTCCTAGTTATCAGCTCTACCAGTTTGCTGGTATTCCTTTCTTTGCTGGCATTTAGGGACACATTATCTGGAAGTCCCATTCATATAAAAGATGTTGAATGGGAAACCACTCTTCTTAGGATGGTTTGAAGCTCCTTGCCTGCACCTTTGAAGAATTTCTACTTGTTTGTAAAATGAAAATGCGTGAATTATTACATAGTTTGTGCAATAATTTCATTAGCAAAGTTCACCCTCCTGTATTGTAAAATAGCTCTCATTTTTAATTTACCCTAAGTTACTCAGTAGTCAGAACCTGATGTCTGTGTTTTCATCTGGACTCACCACGTCTTTGAAGCATGCCAGAGTATCTCTTTTTATAGCTATAAATAGGAATTTAAAGCATAGCCCAGGCTATGATTATTTTAGAATTTGGAGTTTAGTTCATAATCATCACAGATGTCAAACTGTGTTAACCTTTCCATACTTCTCCATGTTGCTGAATATTAAATTAATTGGTTGTGATTAACACAGGAGGGTCACTAGTGGAAGCTCTTTCTATCCAGGTGGTTTTATTCAGTGTCTGAAGGACATGAATACTTGGATCAAGTTTCTCTAGACACATTTCTCAGTTTTTCCTGTTAGTGGGAACCCAGAGAACTGGATATGCAAACTTCAATCATTCCAGTTTGTGTCTCCAACTCTATTTAATACATGTACCAGGGAAACAGCTTGCTACTACCACTAGCTGAAAGAATTGCAGTGGAAGTGACTAACGAACCTGGAAACATCCAAATAAAGAGAACCTACAGTTCCAGCATTTTTCCTCTGATCTCCTAACCAGAGCAATATCCTGCAGAGAGAAATCTAGATCCCACTGAATGTGAGAAAGTTGGCAGGGAATGGCAGCAGCACCCTTTTGATGGCAGAGCCAAGGAAGAAAACTATCTAACTCTTCTATTGCAAAGTTTCCACTGGACCAAAAACAAAACAAGCATTCAGTTTGGTCATGCATGAGTCTGGCTCTTTTAATATTTATCTAGGCCTCCTATTCTTTCTCCAGCTGTGGATCCTGCACCCTCGTGCCTTTGCTCCTGTCCTGCAGCCCCCCAGCTGGGCTTGGGTAATGTGTGCTCTGACTTGTGCTGCTCTGCATTTCCTAATGGGCCTGTGCTGTTCTAAGCTACCTTATAGGGTAATATTAGGGATAAATTCTTTACTCTGAGGCTGGTAGTGATTACCCAGAGAAGCTGTGGATAGCCCATTCCTGGAAGTGCTCAAGGCCAGGTTGGATGGGGTTTGGAGAACCTGGGATAGTGGAAGCTGTCTCTGACCATGGCAGGGGCAGGAACTGGATAATCTTTAAGGTCCCCTCCAATCCAAGCCATTCTATGATTCTAATAAGCCATTTGCAGTTTTAAAATAATAAAGAACAAGAAGGATTGTGTTTCTGTTGCTTTACTTACATATGGAGCAATGTAACTGGCTCTCCCTGTCTCAGTCTAGTGCTATTAATAAAGTCCATGTGAGGAATATACACATTTACAGCACGTGTGAAACCTGTATATGTAACTGGTCTCGAGCTGGAATAGTTTCCATGCCATTTATCTCCATATAGTCCATCTTTCTAGCACATGTGACCCAAAAATGTGTCATCAGGACTTGTGTAGTCACTGGACTGATGAAAGGAATTCAAAGGAAACAGAAGCAGCATTCTGCCTCTAACCTTTGCTCAGCTTGTTTCTACTGCTCTCTGAAAAAGCTAGCAACACATGAAAAAGATGTTGTCATCCCAACCTGGCCATGCTTTTACCTTTTCATACAGCAGCCTTTTATGTAAGGTCATATTTTCCCAAAGATTATTATGAAAAAGGAACTAAAAATCCACAACTATCAGTTTTTAAAAGCAAATAATCACTCCCAAGCAATGGCTGAAAGACAAACATGTACCTAAAGATTTGGAACTGGCATCACTGACACTTTTCATTGTCCAATCAAATTGTTAAAAATAAAAATAAACAAAATCCACACAGAAAAATACACTGGATTTTAACATTCTTTCACATTTCATAACCAAAGCTGCGGTCAGGAACATGGAGCAAGAAAGATGTTTGGTTATAAGTCATGACTACAATTGAACAGTCTCACTGGCATCACATGGAAAACTTCCAAATTAAATGGACTTCCAAATTAAAGACATTCAGACTAAAGATGAAACATCACAAATAACCCTATTTTGTCTAGAATAAATAAAAGTCAATGCAGGCAAATGATCAGGAAGATAACTGATGCAACATTGTTCTTTTGGGCATTCTTGTCGGTGATTTACCCAGTGTGTTTAAAATGCCTAAAACAATTAAGCTGGTGGACAAGCTATTCTAGTCCTCTGGGCATGAATTGTCCTCCTAATGTTTGCTCTTCAGGTCTCCTCATAGCCACATTCTTCTAATGTCTCACTTCTTCCTTCCAGTCTGCAGCTGGTGACTCAGTATTTAATCAGTGCAGCCATCAGGATATTCATCTGCCAAATCAGAGCACTGGTCTCACTGCCATGACCTTCACCGTGCCTATTCCAAACTTTTGCTTTACTCCCACTCATTGCACATCTAAACTTAAAACTGACAGCACTTCAGGGCAAAGCTCCCACCATGTGTAGCATGAAGCTCACCCTCCATCACAGTGTCTGCAGACCCTATGGAAGGTCATAAGCTTCCTATCTGCAAAAGGATGAAAGGACCACAGTCCTCAGGCCCAATTAGGTTTGAAATCCAGGGTAAAACTTCCACTGGCATCAACAGTGCTGGATGAAGAAGCAGGGGGCTCATCCTGAAGGTAATGCTAAATGCCACTTGAAGGGTCTGCATCTTCTCAGTGGTAAGGAATTCCATCTTGCAAATGGAAGTCCTAAAGCCAACAAATCATTTTAACAAGAACTGTGAAACTCCTCAAGCAACATTCATTAGAAAGTTACCTGTCACAAAAGACACGAGGCAATAAGGAGTCTGGAGGTGTAGGGGTCACCAGAGGGTGTTTTATCCTTCTCTCTATATTTTCTGCAGAAACAATAAAGGAGTTAAAAGATAAAATGTAAGATTATGTCACAGCAGAAGAATGTGTCTACCTAGAGGAAGATAAGCCTTTGTCACTGAAGTCAAGTAATCTTCAAAATATGACTGAGCTGTATTGCCATGCACTCTGCAGTTTTGTACAGTCTTTCTACTTATTTTATGTAAAAAACTACATTATATAGTACATTATATACATTGTATATGTATTACATTATATAGCTCAGCTGGTCTTAAGGTGTGCTCCAAGTCCAATTACTAATTAGAATAAGGAAAAATATCAACGTAAGTGTCAGGAAATTCATCATGTTAGACTGGCAATGGAAACTTTAACAAGGAGAACAGTCAAATCATGTCAGACATGGTATTTGATTATCCATAGATGGATTACCTGAGCCATGGATTGGTCCATTCTGTCTTTTCCCTATGTCACAGCCAGGACAGAGACTCTCACCTGCTTATGGCTTTCAGGAGCCCCAGGTTATCTGTGGCTTTGAGAAGGTGCACATTCTGCATGTTAAAAGATGGACACACTGACTAGTTACTGTCAAACTGGCACATGTTTCACATTAGCTGTGGGCAATCTTCCCCCTCCCTGTCCCTGCCCTTCTTCATTATCTGGATGACTGGCTGCAGACTATCTCTGAAGGAGTATGTTTGGGAGTCATCACAGGAGGGTATTATGAAAGAAGGAACTCAACCATGATAACATCCTAATCATAAAACCAGAAAGGCCACATAACCCAAAGTTTCTGTCTTCCAGACCCCTGTACTTCAGATCCCATTTTGCATCCAGCAGTCAATGCTGACACTTTTGCACAGGCCAGGTTCCTGCCTCTGCAGAGCTCATCAGCCCACAGTTTATCTGGAGAAAATCTGCCCTTCAAACATGGGTTTTGGTGAAATTTCATGGTACAGAAATGTATCAAGACAGCAGCCTGAAGAAAAGCAGGGTACAGACAGCAGTGATCTCCAGTTCCCTTTGCAAGGACTCTGCTGCAAAGGTGCTTTAACTGTGTTTGTGTTCATAAGTGACAGAGGGACTTCAGGGTGCTCAAGCACTTTTTGGGCTCCATAGAAGCAGGAAATCCTTCCTCAGTGGGGTGGAGCTGGAAGCCTCAGGCTGAAAAATCTAGCTGGTCACTATCCAGACCACAAGGATTGCAAAACACATGGCACCCACGGGCTGGATCTACCCACTTGCAACACAGTGCTTTCCCTGTGCCATCTACTCCCTTCCAAAAATCCCACAATTGCTTTTATTCCGAATTAGCTCAGTTCTCTTCTCTGAAAAGACACAGTTGTGAAAATACAAACTTTTGGACCATATTTGAAATAATGATTCTATTCATAGTTTCCAAACTCTCCTTTAACCATACCATAGTCTAACTGAGCTGCACAAACTCCTCCACAGTGCTTTCATAGGTGCCCAGAGAGAAAGGGCACACACAGCTCAGGACACAGAACCTGACCCAGAGACAGCAAGGACAGGTCAAGATGAGGCAACAGGAATACCTTAGGCTGGAGGAATTGACCTATTTCAATGCAGCTGAACAAGAATCTCAGCCCATGCAGACCCTTCCTTTCCTAGAGTCTACTTTTTAGATCCTGGTAAATTTGTTACCTGTGTTACACTATTTATCCTAGGTTTACTTATTTACTTTGCTATTAAAAGTTAGCTACACAAAGGGTTATGCATCTTGTTCAACTGGATACAGTCATTGTGAGTTTCCAAAGTCCTCACAGTATCATCTGCCACATGTAAGTCAGGACTGTGACTTCTCTGAACTATTTAGTGATATAAATTCTTGGAACACAAGGGAAGGGAGCCTTATGCCATACATATGGGAGCATGGCTCCACAGAGATAACACCTGCCAACTTCAGGAGACTTGTAATGGCAAGTTTTTTCATTGCTTTCATTATCTCAATTCTGTATGAGACATGTTGCTGGAAATCATGTGAGTTCCTGAAGGTCAGCTCCTCTGCTTGGAAACTTAAGAGTTTCACTTTTGGATTGCTGGAAAATAAAAGTGAGATACTACTCAGTAAATTTTTGCTCTACAAAAAAATTAATGTCCATGGAAATAATTTTCATTAATGTCCATGGAAATAATTTTCATTACTTATCCTAATTTATAACTGCCATGTCCTCCCTTTACAAGGACAGCTTCCTGGCATGAAGGTATTAAATATCCTAGATTTCATTTATTATGACATTGTCATCAAACCCAAAAAATAGCTAAAAGAAATGATAATAATTAAATGTACTCAGCTGCATTTTGCCTGAGAATTTCTGCATGCTTTGAGTGTGGGAGAAGTGACTCATTCTTCATGAAGAGAATGCAGTATAAGCCCTGCTAATTATTTGTGCTGAGAGTGGTATCTACAATTCATTAACTATATGAAAGTTATAGGGCTCTGGCACTTTTTCATAAAGTGCCATTAATATTGCAGCTGGCTAAGCTACAGACACTCTGCAAGATCTTGAGAAATCATATTTCAGATAGGGTAGAAATACTTTAAATATATTTTTATTCAACATATTTTAGTATTTCTTCTTTGAACATACTCCCCTGACAAATGAAACAATTTCAGCAACTCCAGCAGGACAAAAAAAGAAAGCCTCAGCTGCAGCTAGAATTCAGAAATAGATATTATGCAGCACCAAGAGATATTGTGCACTGTTAAAGGATTCTTAGAATGAATGCAGGACTGGAAGTGAATCTCCTGGCATTTATCAATCCCCTATTACTAAAGACCACATTCCAGAATAACTCTCAGAACTGGCTAACAGGTTGTTAATTAGTAGTCACTACTATATAAATTAGAACCAAGGGACTAACAGGAGCCCAGCCACTGTGGCACAGGCGGGAGCCCCCCCTGCCCATTTCACAAATGGTCTCTGTGCCCCCATGTGGGGATCAGCCACGACTCTGCCCAGTCCCACTGCTGGACCAGCACAGCAGAAAAAGCTGTCAGGAGCACAGTGTGTCTGCAAAAACCAAGAAGAGATGGCAATATCCAGGGAAGAAGAAACGAGAAGGAAGATGAGAAAAGCAACACATGAGGTGATGCAAATTCCATCGAGCTTGAAAGAACCTGTCAAGTCCTTATCCTGCTATAGATAAGTTGCTATGGTTAACTGAGCTGATCCACCTTTCTGATAAACTGACTCCCATTCAGTTGCAGTGCCACTGGTATCCAGGCTGATGTGTGTGTCTGGCTGTCTCTAGGACATACATTTGGAAAATAATGGAAAGCACCTGATAGCATCAGTCAGGTAAGATGGCTGATGTTCCCTCTACAGTCCAAAATGTTGCAAAAATACAAAATAATGTTTTAGGCTGGGATGACTCAGAAATCAGTATCAACTTGCCAACTTGGAAGGCCTTAGGATGTTTGCTTCAAATAGTATCTTGGTAACAAATTCATGTCACATTCTCATACACAGATCCATACATAATGAGATTAAAGGTCACAGCTCCTTAGGAGAAACTCTGTTAATATAGAAATACAAAGAGAGTCTGCTGTCTACAAACAAAAAACTTATAATCCAAAGGCCCTTCATTAAGTGAATTGATCTATTTCTAGAGCTCTGCCCTGTAACAGCCTCCAGCAAGAAAACCCGTTATTTGTTTATTTGTTTTCATGGTTCTGTTTGTTTGGGTTTTTTTTTTTTGTTTTTTTTTTTTTTTTTTTTTTTTTATTTTTAATCTAGCATTTTTATCATGCCTAGCTTTCAATTGGGAGAATTATATTTTGGGTAAAGGATATATTCTGAAGGCTTAGATTTCTAATAGGCTGAAACCAGTTAAGTTTTGTTGGCTATTTTTTTTTTTTTATTCGGGAACAATTACCTTTGGTATTTAGGAGCTCTGGTAGGAGGACAGGGATGAGCCCTTACATTATGTATCAACAATTGACTTATGAACCTGGTAACAATTTATTTTAAGTGTGCCATCACAGAGATGAGCTCTATGACCAGCAATAACAGGAAAAATTAAGAATGGGAATAGTCAGACTGCATGTGAGAATCAAAAATTCCTGACAATCCCCAGAAAAATTTCCTTGCAAAGAAGATGCCATATACCTTAAAATGTTTTCAGGTAGTATCAAGGAAAAAAAACTCAAACAAACCTACCTACTGAAGCACACTGGAGATTAAGTGTCCCTGAAGAGATGGACTGGGTCAGCCATAGGACTAAATGATTACTGCACTAAAGGCACCCAACACTTAAATCACGACACAAGCTGACCATAAATATCCTCTAACATTAGACCCCTTCTTTACTTTGCATGGTCATCAGTCACATGTGAAAACCATGACAATTTCAAGCATCATGATGAGATTCGTATTATTTTCCCATGGGTTATTTTCCAGACTGGAAAAAGATATTTGGGGAAAAATGTTTTGGAAACTTAAGTCACATGCCTTGATGAGAAAAAACAGCCAGCCTGAAATTATATATTCTTACCTCAGCACTAAACAGAACTCATCAGTTTCTTAAAAGAAAGTGCAGTTTACTTTGGAAATGAAAATGAACTTCCACATGATTGGAGCAGAAACCTCATACTTGATTTCTGTGCATTTGACATGAAATACAGAAACCTTTGATTTAGCGTTCAGCATGTTTTGGTACATTCCAGATAGCCCTAAGGGCAGCTCCAAAAGTAAAGGTAATTATGAAAATAAAACTTTGAATTTCTCAAACAAACCAAAGGTTTAGTTTAAATCCTGAAAAGAAACTTGTGGAGACTGGTCCGTGATGGTTAACCGGAACTGGATACATGGACTGGTTCCACACTAATCTGGCCACACCTGAAGCACATCTATGAACAATCTCTATGGCTGGCACTTAGGAGATCTGCATGAAAAAGCCTTAACTGAATCTCACCTACAAATTCAGTTTGGACCATCCTGCTAAATTAAATACCTTCAAGAAAAAAAGCTCCCGAGGCCCTCTACAGAGAATGTAAGATTAGGCA